ATATTTTTTAAATCTATCTGCCTATTCTTTTACTCTGAATTCTGCATCTCTCTTCACCTCCTGTACCTCATTTTCCATCTCCTCAAGTTCTTATGGAACATCTGCATGATGTGGCTATAAGTGGTGCAGAGAAGGAGATCAAAAATTTTGGGGGAAAATGGCCATAGCCAATAACTGGAGGGAGCTGTATCCCTAGCAAACAACCCTAATAGGAATTATTAATTAGGACCACTAATTTCTCAAATAAAACACTCTTGTTTTAAATGGCTTGGAAGGAAAGAATGTTTCGAGGCATCTTTAAAGATGCAACATATTGCTTGTTCTGCTTGTCAGTGAGGAATAGAGTTAATGAAAATATATGTAAGGACATATACACTATATTGCCAAAAGTATTTGCTCACCTGCCTTGACTCACATATGAGCTTAAGTGACATCCCGTTCCTAATCCATAGGGTTCAATATGACGTCGGTCCACCCTTTGCAGCTAGAACAGCTTCAACTCTTCTGGGAAGGCTGTCCACAAGGTTTAGGAGTGTGTTTATGGGAATTTTTGACCATTCTTCCAGAAGCGCATTTGTGAGGTCGCACACTGATGTTGGACGAGAAGGCCTGGCTCTCAGTCTCCGCTCTAATTCATCCCAAAGGTGTTCTATCGGGTTGAGGTCAGGACTCTGTGCAGGCCAGTCAAGTTCATCCACACCAGACTCTGTCATCCATGTCTTTATGGACCTTGCTTTGTGCACTGGTGCACAGTCATGTTGGAAGAGGAAGGGGCCAGCTCCAAACTGTTCCCACAAAGTTGGGAGCATGGAATTGTCCAAAATGTCTTGGTATGCTGAAGCATTCAGAGTTCCTTTCACTGGAACTAAGGGGCCAAGCCCAGCTCCTGAAAAACAACCTCACACCATAATCCCCCCTCCACCAAACTTTACACTTGGCACAATGCAGTCAGACAAGTACCGTTCTCCTGGCAACCGCCAAACCCAGACCCGTCCATCAGATTGCCAGATGGAGAAGCGCGATTCGTCACTCCAGAGAACGCGTCTCCACTGCTCTAGAGTCCAGTGGCGGCGTGCTTTACACCACCGCATCCGACGCTTTGCATTGCACTTGGTGATGTATGGCTTGGATGCAGCTGCTCGACCATGGAAACCCATTCCATGAAGCTCTCTGCGCACTGTTCTTGAGCTAATCTGAAGGCCACATGAAGTTTGGAGGTCTGTAGTGATTGACTCTGCAGAAAGTTGGCGACCTCTTCGCACTATGCGCGTCAGCATCCGCTGACCCAGCTCCGTCAGTTTACGTGGCCTACCTCTTCGTGGCTGAGTTGCTGTCGTTCCCAAACACTTCCATTTTCTTATAATACAGCTGACAGTTGACTGTGGAATATTTAGGAGCGAGGAAATTTCACGACTGGATTTGTTGCACAGGTGGCATCCTATCACAGTTCCACGCTGGAATTCACTGAGCTCCTGAGAGCGACCCATTCTTTCACAAATGTTTGTAAAAACAGTCTGCATGCCTAGGTGCTTGAATTTATACACCTGTGGCCATGGAAGTGATTGGAACACCTGATTCCAATAATTTGGATGGGTGAGCAAATACTTTTGGCAATATAGTGTATGTTCTACACTATACACAGAAGGGCACATATATGTTTTCTATGTTGGAAATCAAAAATGGATTTTATATGAAAAACAAAAAAAAAGAAGCTTTGTTTAATAATTAACGATTTTTTGCGGTTTAAAATCCTTTTAAAGTTTAACCAGTTTCATCTGCCCGTCTAGGGCATAAAGTAAAACAGTGCTGCATGTACCCTATCATTTGCACCGCAGCACAATGCTTAAATAAGGCAACAAAAATTGTCTTTCACTTTAAAAAACTAATTTCCTGACTTTAAACACACTCTTCTGACACACACTCGGAGCCTGTTCAACTGAAGAAACTCATTGCTTTCCTACATCCACCTGCGACTAAGCTAATCAGCGTTGAACCACACCTCCACGAAAGCCAATCGGCTTCCGAAGTTCATCTTAAAAGTCCTCCGATACGCACCTGTCTGCTCCTGTGTGCAGGCGGTGGATGCGCTGTGACTTCATTCAGATGACACAGTTACAACCCACCTCCTGCACCTCCTCCACCATCGTAGCTAAAGCTTCATCAGTGTCATTCCTCCCGGACTCTTACTGAATTCCGCGTCTCATTTTAACCAGTCCGGCAGAAGACCGCCATTTTGAGCCTGGTTCTGCCAGAAATTTCCTCTCCACTGTCGCTCCATGCTTGCTCATCATTGACAGGTTCTCTCAATCTGTGTTATCAAACTGAACTTCCATCTTCCAGGTCCCTGAGTGAAGCTCTATTATCAGCTCACGCAGTCTACTGGATCTCCCCATAAAGCTCAGCATACCGTCTCACTAACCATCAGTCTACAGACTGACCAACTTCATCTATCTCCACTCCGACACCAGTTTCAGGCCTGGGTGGAAACACCCCTATTCTTTGCTCCTGTTCATGCATATCTATCAAATTAAGCGCTATGTTTCCTGCCGAGGTCTGAGCTCCAAAGACAAAGTAATTGCATCAATAAATTTCTCCTAATTGTCTTTTCTCTTCGTGTGAGTTTTTCAGATTGAACTACTGTTGGTAAGCTGCATATAGTAGAACATCCTGGTCAAGCAGCTGACTGTAGTCTTACATCAACAGATAACCTGGCTAATGATCCAGCAAATATTGCTTTTATTACTATTCTTACTCTTTAAATAGTAGAAACGATTGGAGATATAATATTCTACACAATGAACCTGAGCGTCAAAGCCCAACTTCAACCATTGTTTTCCATAAACACACCTCTGCATATAGAGATTATTGTCTTGTCCAATTTTATAATTTTCTTTTCTGCTAACATTTAAAAACAACATGATTATTTAATCAAGGGCAAAGAGTTTTTTATACCTCTGTTGGCTCAGACTCTAAACAAATTTGAAAACCTTTCTTGAAGTCATTCAACTTAACATGATAAGCAAAAACCATACTGGTACAATCAGCTATAAGAAAATCGATAAATGGTGGTTTCTTTCTAATGCAATATAATTCCTAACTGTATAAACCATGATATATTACTGCACTCTCCCTCCCTCACATTTTTTTGTTTTTTGCACACACTGCCAGTCAGCTTGACGAAGACAATAATTTTTTCTCTCTCGATTAAGAAAATTAAAATTCTGTTGTTTGATATATTTCCAGCCACAAAAGAATGACAAAGAGTGACACAGAAATTAACTGAAAATTACCGATCAACAATCATGTAATCATATATAAGGTTACTGCTTTATGGCTACAGCTGAAAATTTAGTCCAGTGTCTTTAAAATAACCAGCTGCAAGTTGGCTATCAGTGCAAATAGAGTGAAAACTAAACATGCCAGCAGCTGCTAACTTGACTTGCATTGCTTTATGAAAACCAAACTGGGAAGAATAAAATACTCCCTGCAAAAAGCCATTAACAACTCACAGGCTACCCAGTCGGGGATGTTATAGAAAATATTATAATTCTCTACTGTACCTGTAATAATAGAAAATTCATATTTCTTGGGCTGCAACAGAGATAATTATCTTCTTTTTATTTCAAATAAATGCAATGAGCCATAATATGAAACAATTATACATATTGGCCTGTGCCTCCTTGGAATTAAAAAATAAATCTTATGAATATCTTTATAAAGTAGTATAACTTTAAGTCCTTGTTTAAACTAAATTTACATTTTTAAATTAATACATTTTATTTATTTACATAATCCTCTCCTTAACAATTGAGAATAGGATTTCCCTCCAGTCCTTTCAGACATTTAAAGCAAGAGTATCTTTATTTAAAAATATAGCAGTCTAATCTGTGCTAATAGAGAATCATCCGTATTAGTGTCGTTTACAGGTGTTGCAGATCCCTCCAACTATTGGCTATTGCCATTTTTTGCCCTACATTTTGGCTCTCTCTTTTTATGCAGCACTTTAACCACATATGTTGACCACACTTTGCAGTTTGTCACACAGCCTTTAAAATTATGTAAAATTAAAAAATCCTGGGTTATTTGGCACCTTAGCAAATTTTAATATCAGACCCTTCTATTTAAAAAAGAATAAATGTCAAAAAGAAGGAAAAAACATGCAAAAAAATGTTTTGTTAAGAAACAGTGGTTTACAAAACATTTTCAAACGATAAAGAAGGGATACAATTTTGCATGTTACATAATACTGTATGTTGTGCATCTTTGGCTCCCTGGATCTGGCTTGATTTATCTATGAATTGCTCAACTGACCTATGATTTCAGAAAACTAAATGCTCCTTGGTTTATATGCTTTTTACGATGGTAAGTTGTCCTGCTTCTTTCCCAGGTAGAAGTATGGTATGTACACAATACTGGCATTTATCAAGATAAAGCAGCACCCCTGGAAAGTTGAATAAAAACTCCCTTTTTTCAAAGGTTTACTGCAGCACAATAGAAAGAAAAGGTTAAAATCCAACCTATGATCTGATTAAAGTTATTAAGTAGAAGTAAAACCAGAGTTTGACTATAATTTGTTCTTACTGCAACTCTAATGGGCACTCCCACTGTCTAGCAAATGACAGCAGTTATTTCTTATGGTAAATTTTACTCCCTACTGAATAAATGCACTAAAACTGAGGATGCATTCTTCCAGAGTTTTCTTTAACAACTGCAAAACAGAACAATCCATTGAAACCTGGCAGAGCTTATAAAAAAGTTGCAGGCCACTGTACAGTGTTCACAGCATAAAACAACAACTTAAAAAAAGATAGCTTTAAAGGCAGGGAATAAATCTCTTGATGGTTTAGTCTGTGCAATTTAAAGCTAATGGACTAAAACATGCAAAAACTACTCGAACTATCATTAAATCCTTTATGGCAAATTTGTCCACATCTGCTGTTAATTTCTCATTACTGCTGAGCTTGAGGAAATGACTTGAGGCAAATCCCTGTGTTTCTTACTTGATCTCACTTTCCTGGACCCTCTCTTCATCCAGGTCCTCTATGAACTTGTCCCCCTTCATCCAGTAGATGAGTGGGCTGGCGTCTCCGCTGTAGCCAAAAAATGCTCTGCATGTGAGGTTCAAAGCGCTTCCTGCAAAAAGAGGAGACAGGCCGTCACTTTCAAGAGTTCTGTTGCCTTGTTAAAGGTGACATGTTTGTGCACACCCTGACAAATCAAAGTCAGATGTACTGACACGTGCTTATTGTGATTAAACTTTTGACATACTTTTTAGTTACACCCACGCATGGAAAGACACATGCTTCATAACATTATCACACGTAGAGACAAATTGCTGCACAAATGTCACAAAGCTTTGTCACAACCTTTCTTTACAGGCAGCAGAATGTATATTTTCTAGCATAAAAACAAGTTAAAAAAATGACCACACGGAGGCACTCAAGAGCTGCCCGAAATCCCTCCTGGAGCCTGGTATCATTGGAGAAAATAGGGATTTGAAAGAAGACAGACGATAACATTATTTTATTTGGAGCTGCTGCTGGGTACGACGGAAGGTCAAGAGTCAACAACTGCAGTTTGCAGAGAGTTGATCTGTGGAAGAGGGAGTAATTGTCTCTGGGGAGTCAATGGGATCTTTGCTCTGTGAATGAACAGCTAAAAAGAGAGGGCACATATTCACGCCAACTGTCATTTTAGTCCCATTAAAAAAGTTTCAGCAAAGCTACTAGTATTATTTACTTAGTCAAGGAAAAAGAGATCCGTAAAATAAATAATGAGCCCAAAAAGAAGAAAATTGTAAAACTCCATTTTACATGAATCAACCATATAAGCTGATCATAGCTGGAATTAACAGGCCTCCTTTTACTTCTTCTCATGCTTGTTTGTTTATGCACTTCAAGCATGTGAAACAGAGCATGCACAGGTTTATCTTTTACACCATGTGATTGGTAATATGACAGGAAGGACTTAGTGCTGTCCCTCTACAACATTTTAAAAACAGTGAGGCTCATTGGCTGCTGTAAACTCTTCACTGTAACTCATCCTCTTATAATAAAGGAAAAATGATACATGATTTTACATTTCATAAAGAAGAAAAATAAAATTGTTATGTGCAGTCATGCATTATGTTGTAGTTACATTTTGAAGCCCTTTGGGATATTTCACCAGCTGGCACACTGTCAAAGAAACAATATTTTTCCAATTTTTCCTCGGCTCAAGCTCAGTCTATTCGGATTAAGAAAATCTGTGAGCAACCATTTTTAAGTTTCACAAAAGAATCTCAATTTGGATTAAATCTGGACCTTGACCATGCCATTTTGAGTAATGAATGGACCTTAATATAAATCACCCCACTGTATCTGTAAATACACTGCAGCTCTGTGTTTTGAGTCACTGTCCAGCCAATCTCAAATGTAAGCAAGGTGAATTCAACAAGATGTACCTTGCAATTTCTCTCCTACAAACTGCAAAAGTTTAACTAGAAAAAGTTGCATTTCCTGCGAAAATGCAGTGTGAATGCTGTACGCTAAACTGTAAGCTGTAAGGTTAAAATGGCAGAAACAAGCTGAAATTTAAAGTCAAAGCTGCTGGAATGGTATGGAATAGCAAAAAATGTCTAATTAGTTTCTTAAAAGTAGCTGAAGCCAACAGCAGAAACATGGCAGACATGTTATCAATTAACAGCAAGCAGAAAAGCTTAATGCCTTTCCAGAAAGAGAGCAGAATCAAGCCAAAATTGGAAAAAATATGCAGAAATTTTATAAAATAGCAAAAACGGTAACATAAACAGTAAAAAAGTTGAATCTTAACTAGTTGAAGAAAAAAATTAGTAGCTTAAGGATAGGAAGATAAATGTTGAATATGTATAATAAGTATTAAAGTCTGAAATCATATGTGGAAATGTCAAGACTTGTAAAAAAAAATTGAAATTAATTAAAATGTGTCAGTTGATCAGCATAGAGAAAACAGTGTCATCCTTAGAAGCTTGAAAATCCACAAACCAAAGTACAAGACTGACCATAAGAAGCACAGGAAGGACAGAGAGAGAAGCTTATAAAAAGAGAGCTAATAAAATTTAAGGAGCTGAATTTATCAAAAAATCTAACCTGCATGTTATGAGCCACTGTGTTGATGACAGCACCGTTGGCAGGCTTAGGCTGCATGTTACGAGGTTAGCAGATGCTTTATTACAGTGTAAATCTTAGAACCTGATTAAGAAATATGCACTTAGGTGTGGGGTCAACAGGCCTTGGTAGTGTAATTTGAAGAAATTGGTTGAGTTTGGGTCATAGCTACAAGCCATATGGCACAATGAATGAGTGTATGTAAGAAAGAGGCTTTTATTTTGTAGAGTCCCTTTAGTCTTATTTTGAAAGTCTATCATGGATGTGTGTCAAGGGAAGGGTCATGCCAGGCAGTGATATAGAATCCATTTCTAAATATGCAATCACTTGTTTTCCATGTTATTGGGTGAATAGATGCTGTGTTAGAGCATAAATGGGAGACTTTTATTGTGAAATTCGCTCTGGGGTATGTTTTGAAAAGGTCCCTAGAGTCTAATAGAAACAAGCTGGTAGAGTTTGGGTCATAATGCTGAGCCATTTGCATCAATTAATACACAAGTATAATATAGAGGCTTTTATTTTGTAGGGTCACTGGAGTCTTATTTTGAAAGTCTAGCATGGTTGTGTGTTGAGTAAAGTGGTCAGACCCAGCAGTGATATTTGATGACTTTCAAATCCTTAAATCACTCTTTTCCCCTGTTATTAGGGCAGTAGATGAAGCGGCAATGGGAGGCTTTTATTTTGAAATTTGCTGTGGGGTGTGTTTTGAAAACCCCCCTAGAGTCTAATTTTAAAAAAGTGGTTGAGTTCGGATCATAATGTTGACCCATATGCTGGGAAAAAAATATGAGTTTAATGTAGGGGCTTTTATTTTGAAGGGTCCCCGGAGTCTTATTTTGAAAGTCTATCAGGGTTGCGTGTGAAGGGAAGGGTCATGGCCAGTAGTCATATTGTATCCACTTCCTAATGTTAAATCAGTGTTGTCTCCCTCCATTAGATTAAAATGTGCTGTTTAAAGTGGTGGAGGTAAAATCTCTTTGAAGCACGGTTACCTTGACGACGTTAACGAGCCTGTCAGTGACAGAGAGAAACGCGCATCACTTTCGTTCCTTAGTTCTCAGGCTTTTTTGAATGGGATTATCAGCTCCGAACAAACAAGTGCTGAAGACAAACCGTAAATGGTATCTAAAAAATTCTTTCAGTCTAAGCGAGAGCTATCCTTTGTCTCCGATTGGGGTAACTTTCATGGATGTAGCTCATTCACAACCTTAATGGGAAGGAGGAATAAAAAGGTTTGAGAAATCCTGCTGGTCTCATTGAATAACATGCAGCTTAATGGTAGAGCAGAACTCTCAAAAGCAAAACTTTCCCTCCGAACAAACGAGCGGTGAGCCAAAACCGTATTAGGTATTCAAAAAATTCTTTCACCGTGAGCGTCAGCCATCTTTGGACTACAACTGGGGTGACTTTCATATTTCTACAATATTTCGTCTAGGCGTGGTGACGATGTAAAAAAGTGTATAATTGTCAAAATCCTGATTTTGGGGTTCGGACAGATTTGTTACCCCCGAACAAACCTTTTTCCTAGCTAAACGATAAAAGATATCGACACACTTCCTTCAATGTGAGTGCTAGGAAGGTCTGAGGAACAACTTCACCAAGGCTCATGTTGCTACGTCGAACGGTTCCCAAATGGGAGCGATACGAAAAAGTCTGTTTTTTTGAATTTTCAGTTCGGATTTTCAGAGAGCTCTCATTGGATTTCTATTGGGGAAGTGTGGACTTCTTCGTGGTCTGGGCCAAACTGTCGGAAAACCGTAAATGCCACACAAATGAGGGTTACATTTCCTGAATCCTGACAAAAATCCCTACGTTTTGATGTAAAATTTATCTAGATAGAGTAAAAGATGAGCGAGTGAGTTGAAGCTGTTCGGCATGAGTGAAATGTTTGAAAACGCTAGAGTGGCACACTCTAGCAGCTGAACATTCCGTCCATAGACTTCCATTATAAATTTGAAAATCTGTAAAAATTGTTTAAAAGTTTGAAGCTTCACTGAAGCAAAACTGTAAAAGTTAGCAAAAAGCCGAGTTAAACTGTAATAGCAGAAAGATACGGAAACATTTTAAAAGTTGAATGGTGTTTCTAGCTGAAAGTATGCAGAAGTAGTTAAAGAGCAAAATAGCAGAAGATTTAGCAGAATTTTAGCAAAATGCCATTCATTTCAATGAGGCAAAAATTTGCAGAAAAAGCAGAATAATTTAAAAAGCAAAAGAGGTAGAAATACAAAAAGACATAGCCGACATGTCCTAAATGAGCTGAATATTGTGAAATTTGAATGGTTGAAATAGCACAAAGTATGCAGAAGTAGTAGCGTTACAAAAAATGGTCGGAAGAATAAAAATAATAAAAAAAATAAATAAAGAATAAAGAGAAACAGGATCTCAATAGTGTGAATGCCTACAGCATTCACACAACTAGAAAAAGTTGCATTTCCTGCGAAAATGCAGTGTGAATGCTGTACGCTAAACTGTAAGCTGTAAGGTTTAAATGGCAGAAACAAGCTGAAATTTAAAGTCAAAGCTGCTGAAATGGTATGGAATAGCAAAAAATGTCTAATTAGTTTCTTAAAAGTAGCTGAAGCCAACAGCAGAAACATGGCAGACATGTTATGAATTAACAGCAAGCAGAAAAGCTTAATGCCTTTCCAGAAAGAGAGCAGAATCAAGCCAAAATTGGAAAAAATATGCAGAAATTTTATAAAATAGCAAAAACGGTAACATAAACAGTAAAAAAGTTGAATCTTAACTAGTTGAAGACAAAAATGAGTAGCTTAAGGATAGGAAGATAAATGTTGAATATGTATAATAAGTATTAACCCATTTAGGCCGGGAAAGCATTACCGCATTTCTACCATTCAAGCCGGGGGCGCTGTTGCGTAATTCTACCATTGACGCCGGGAGAGCATATAAGTCAAGCAAGAAGAAAGAAGTTTTTTTCAAGCAAACATGGAGGAGTTTGACAGAGAAGAGATGTCGGAAGGCAGTGATTTTGAGGAGTGTGTCGGCTTTG